ACACATGGATAACAATGCAATCTTGTTTAAAAGAACTGTTATAAATACACATGGATAACAATGCTTTCTTGTTTAAAAGAACTGTTATAAATCACACATAGATAACAATGCTTTCTTGTTTAAAAGAACTACTATAAATTACACATGGATAACAATGCTTTCTTGTTTAAAAGAACTACTATAAATTACACATGGATAACAATGCAATCTTGTTTAAAATACTTTTATAATTTACTCACGAACTACCACGAACCTGAAACAGTTGTTATGAAAACGATTGTAACTAGCCAATGTAATCAGTCCACCCCAGCACGGGGACAACGAAAAAAAAATCTGCATAGCTGCATCGGCCCAGACCTGAAAGTTAAACACACGCTTTACAAGATAACTACTCAATGTACTTTATGACATATGTTCGTCACGACAATGTAACATAATCAATGTACTGTGTGACACGTGATCGTCACAGTGCATTGATTATGTTAACTTTGTATTGACAAGCATATATCACACAGTACATTGATTATGTAACATCGTCGTGACGATCACGTGTCACACAGTACATTGATTATATAACATTGCCGTGACGATTACGTGTTACACAGTGCATTGATTATGTAACTTTGTATTGACAAGCATATGTCACACAGTACATTGATTATGTAACATCGTCCGATGTTACATAATCAATGTACTGTGTGATATATGCTTGTCAATACAAAGTTACATAATCAATGCACTGTGTAACACGTAATCGTCACGGCAATGTTATATAATCAATGTATTGTGTGAAACGTGATCGTCACGATAATGTTGCATAATTAATGTACTTTGTGACACACATTGTTTTAGTAAAATTATTTAACATTGCTAACTAAAGAACCATCAGGTCCGTAGGGAAAGGGAGTTCTTCTATAGGAAGTAGAGTTTTCTTATTTCTTAGTCTAGGAAAGGGTCGGGTTTTAGCGTTTTCAATCCGATTTCATTTTCGTCAAAAATTATTTTTCGACATCCCAATTTAAATTGATACCTGTTCATCCTTGAAAACGTAAAACAACTAATCACTGAACAGAACATTATAACTAGGATAAGGCGTGTAGTTGTACCTGAAGCATATGATAAACACATTTTCATTTTTTCAACTTTTAAAATATTCCATACAGGATACCTTAAAAACACGTTACTCAAGTCAATCGTATTGACCGTTATGTAAAATAAGTTACTTGTGATATTCTAATGGTTATCTTCGTTAAAATGCTACGTTATATAGCACTAAGTACTAAAGGAATCCGATAACAATAGCTGGTTTAACTTTGGTCCTCACTACCACAAACACTTCTAAGAACATCCTTGAAAACGGCAACAGCCAAATCGTAGGATATAAACTAAGTGGTATTAGTGTAAACAATGAGTAATTACACTTAAGTTCTCTTACAGGTTATTAACCTTGATAAAGGTTATATACTAATGGGTATTTACTATCAGTATAAATAATTAGATTTTAATCACCTAATACGATGAAAAAGTTTATATGTCATGTTAGCAGGGACTTAGCTTTCATAGTTTGGGGATTTTTTCATTACTCAAGAATAAACTACATTCTAGCCTTCTTGGAAATCACATAACTGACCTTAGCTTCCTTCAGTCGATGCCATTCTGGAGTAAGATAAAACATCACCCCCTCAGAAGCTCCCGGTAGAGTAGCTCCTCGGATTAACAGAATGACTAATATGACGTAAGGAAATAGTGCTGTGAAGTAGACAACCTGTTATCGAAAACGTTGAAAATATTTAGAAAAAAGCTACTGCAGCTCTTATGTTCCAAATCAACACATTTTTTTTAGTAAAACATACGAATACGGAAACAACACCTTGCTTTCACTGTTAACCGGTTCAAACAATGCTGCTTTACCAACTTACAGTAAGTTAAAATACCTTTCCTACTGCTTTACCAACTTACAGTAAGTTAAAATACCTTTCCTACTGCTTTACCAACTTACAGTAAGTTAAAATACCTTTCCTACTGCTTTACCAACTTACAGTAAGTTAAAATACCTTTCCTATACTCTTTACACCTTTGAAGAGGCAAAGAAAGATGATGATCCAGCAAACCAAGAGACATAAGGCCAGCTGCCACTTGATTCCTCCGAGGTCATGAAGTCCGCTGGTCAGTTCCAGAACGAAATTGCTGCAGAAAACGAAGCACGGTTTAACATCTCAAATACAGAAACCTCGCTAACATTAGATAACTTTGGGACCAAATAACTGGTATATTGTAATGTCCACTCACTGGAAGTATTCATCACTTGCCATCTTCGTGTTATCTGTAGAGTTGGACACGATTAACCATTCTTCAGGGCTAACCATTTCTCTGAATATACACGTGCCATTCGCCAGGACTTTTCCTCTATGGACTGTACAATTCTTGGTGTCAAACTTTCGACAAGCTACAAAAAAATACTGATTCATTAGGTAAACCTAAACACAGAAAATCAAAAATATTTACTTTTTAATAAAGCTAGATACTGTTACATATCTATATACCGCCAAAACATTATTAAACTCTTATTGTTTAGCTCGCAAACCAAGTTCAACAGTTCTACATATCTAGATACCATCAAAACAGTATTAAACTCTTATTGTTTAATTGTTTAATCGTAAACCAAGTTCAACAGTTCTACATATCTAGATACCATCAAAACATTATTAAACTCTTATTGTTTAACTGTTTAATCGTAAACCAAGTTCAACAGTTTTACATATTTGGATACCGTCAAACTATGAATAATTAACATATGTCTTTATATCAATAATGTCATCAATAATTAACATAATTCTCAGTTATTTAAAACGTTACACTGAGCAAGATTCTATTATTTATTTGTATAACTGATATTTACCCTTCCCATCACTTTCACTGTTTTAACAATATTTTCCTATTTATAATCCCCCATTCTTTAAACATGTGTAGTTTCTACGTACCATTTGTAATTTTTACATGTTTATACACTGAGCAAGTTTCTCTCGTTTATTTCTAAGCGCTAAAGAGAGGATGAAACGTGTTATAATTTTCATAGCTCGCTCTGACTACATGTACTGTCTACATGATAAAATACTTATGTAAAACGAATATATTAGGAAGGGGATCTTCCATCATCAGAGTGATTTTTTAAGTACAAAAACTAATTATATCCCGAATAAAAGTTTTAAAACTATTCAGATGAGATGTTCAGAACGAAACGGGATTTTTGCTTTGTAGCACACTAATCATATCTGAATACAATCAATAAACGTATTTCGACAGTGAATAGAGATGGACACATGGGCGTCCGCAGAAATTTTTACAGGGAGGGCAAACTAGTGGGAAATTGTGAATTGGAAAAAATTCATATACATATGCTGAATGAGGCCCGGCATGGCCAGGTGGTTAAGGCGGCGACCCTCAGATTGCGAGTCGAGGTTTCTAAAGCTGTTTCTTACGTCAAGGATGCAACCCACTTGACAGCCTTCCCTCTTTGAAAGGACGAGCATGTTTGGTGTGACGGGGATTCGAACCCTTTTTTTTTTCATTTCTCATAGTCCTTGCGGACCGTTGAGCCGATGGCAGAGCAAGATCTGCCATCTGCTGTTTGAATACAAGAAGGGAAACAACGACCTCTGTAGCCACAAAGAATATCAAAGAAGTTTATGGAAATGTTTTGAACGTTCGTAAGTGTCAACGATGGTTCAGCAAATTTCGTTCAGGTGATTTAAGCCTTAAAAACTGTGATGGCAGGGGCCGACATGTTGGAATTGATATTGATGCTTGTTGAGTCTAACCCAAGGCAACACACTCGTGAAATGGCCCTGAAATTGCGCGTCTCTCATGAAACGATACGTAAACATCTAAGGAATATGGAAAAACTCCATAAAGAAGGTGTTTGGATGCCTCACGAACTTTTCGATGATCATCGTTTCCAACGTGTGAATGTTGCTTTGTCTCTTCTGGCGCGTAATGCACGTGAACCATTTTTTGCACAGAATTGTCACCGGTGATGAAAAATGGATTCTCTCTATACGAATATTAAACACCAAAAACGCTGGACTCCATCCGCAGAAAGTGATGCTTTGCATTTGGTGGGATATCAAAGGAGTAATTCATTTCAAACTCCTCAATCCACAGCGAACTGTCAATGCAGATATCTATAGTCAGCAACTGGGACGTTTAAATCAAGCCCTTCATCAGAAACGCCCTGCACTCGTCAATCGGAAAGGTGTTCTTCTTCTCCACGACAATGCACGTCCACATGTGGCACGTTTGATGCAACACAAGATTATGGAGTTGGGTTGGGAAGTTTCCTCCCACCATATTCTCCAGGTATGGCACCATCAGATTACCGTCTTTTTCGTTAGCTGCAACACCATCTTAATAGGAAAAAGTATACACATGTGGAAGGTGTTAAAGAGGACATCGACATGTTTTTTTGCTTCAAAGCCAAGTGATTGCTTTAATCTGGGCATTAACAACCTGATTGCAAGATGGAAAAGCATCATCCATAAGAATGGAGACTATTTCATTTAATAAATGTTTTGCTTTGATATATAAGTTGTTCGGGTTTTTTATCTAAAAAAAGCGACATTAATGTCTTGACGACCTAATATTTCGAGTTTAATTATTTGAAAACCTGCTTTTTTGTTATCAAAGTAAGCTGAATGTTTTAGGATATATATTATTAACAATTCATAATAAACATATTCATCACAGGTTTGGAGAAAAATCCCCCCTATTCATTAATGTTATTAGAGACCCCGTGGAACGAATCATTTCTTCCTACTTTTACCGCCGAGTGGCTGCTAAGCGACGGTCCAACCGAGAAAAACCAAGTCAGTACTGGATGAATAAGGTTAGTTCTGCTTAATTGTTTGTTTTTGTTTTTGTATTTCGCGCAAAGCTACACGAGGGCTATCTGCGCTAGCCGTCCCTAATTTAGTAGTGTAAGACTAGAGGGAAGGCAGCTAGTCATCACCACCCACCGCCAACTCTTGGGCTACTCTTTTACCAATGAATAGTTGGATTGACCGTCACATTATAACGCCCCCACGGCTGAAAGGGCGAGCATATTTGGTGGGATGGGGATTCGAACCCGCGACCCTCAGATTGTGAGTCGAGCGCCCTAACCACCTGGTCATGCTTCTACTTAATACCACAGGCTGGCTTTAATGAAATTATTGTGGCTTATTTTGTTGCCTCAATCTATTAAATATATCACATTTTATTTCCACATTGTTTGTTAATATTAACTTCCGATCAGAGCAAGAAATTGAAAATCAACATAGAAATAATTATAGCTAATTAAGTATACTTTTCTTACGTTCTTACTTATAAAGATTAGAATATATTATTCCGTCAATTAGGTACCTCACTATTAACCCTTTTTTTTTGCCATAAACCCAATAATATCTCTCAAGCTTTGACCAGGTTAGGAGATTTAAGTTTGTACAAAATACGTCTATTAAGCTAATAATGCAAAACAATCTCTGTAATAAAGGTATAATAATGAAAATTAAAAATAATAAAGTTAGTGTATTAAACATTCTCACCAATAATGGTAATAAAAGTAACATTAAAGAAATAGTCAACTTTGCGGAAAGCGCAAACACTAGTTGTTGTCTTCAAGTAGATTTAATGTTCATTGGTACATTATTTCTAGGAGGACTAAGTGAACTAGAAGTGACATCAACATGTGAATTGCGTAATTTCAACAAATATTCAAATTATTAACACTGTTATAGGAGAACTGAGGTGTAAGCAGATTGGAAAAACAGGCTGTGGTATTATCACTGTAAGACTAAGTTGTTTAACACTGTTATAGGAGAACTGAGGTGTAAGCAAATTGAAAAAACAGGCTGTGGTATTATCACTGTGAGACTAAGTTGTTTAACACTGTTATAGGAGAACTGAGGTGTAAACAAATTGAAAAAACAAGCTGTGGTATTATCTCTGTGAGACTAAGTTGTTTAACACTGTTATAGACGAACTGAGGTGTAAACAAATTATGGTTTTATCACTGTGAGACTATATTGTTTAACACTGTTATAGGAGAACTGAGGTGTAAACAAATTGAAAAACAAACTGTGGTATTATCACTGTAAGACTAAGTTGTTTAACACTGTTATAGGAAAACTGAGGTGTAAGCAAATTGAAAAAAAC